AAWKGRRRAAATATAGGYATTTCATAGATAATTATATGRTAATAAAGTTTATTCTATACCAATTACGATCGATTTATACAAASGATAGAGTTAACGCTCCACCCTTATAGAGTACAAACATTTAAACTGTGCAACATACTAATACCACTAAATACTGTTAAATTATGATAATTTTATTGTTTTCTACTGTAGCACTATTTTGYAGTATTAGTGCAAAGTATTGCACACTTTTAGTGTTTGTACTCTAAAACAATTCAGTGTCACTTCCAAAACGTAAAAAAAAAATTAAAAAAATATATCACGCAGAAAAAATTAAACTTTGCTATGAACACGAGTCCTAATTGTAATGCTTTGTATTAAATATATGCAGTTATTTTTGTGGAAATTGGTTTCGAATGACTGTACGTAGTTGTGGACGCTCAGTCTAGTTGTACTTTATAAGTTAGCAAACTGACAACACAAGACACTAGGGTAACTTGATCAACGGTAGCTACCCCAGAAGTGTTTCGTGATGGCTGACATCTTGGTAAAGTTGTTATCGCGATTGATAAACAAATCCGATATTTTTTGTTATTTGTCATTTGTACAAGACAGAATATTATTAGATTAMAGTAAAAGTTATTTTTGTTTAAAGAAACACGTCAATGTTTATCTCTCTACAAGATCTTGACTTTTACATAAATAATTAATGTAAAGTCGAACAGTAAACTGTGCAAAGAAATCCATTTAAAATTGAATCACATTATGTTAGGGTTAATTACMGAGAAACGAGGAAATAAGCTATACTGATCGAGCTCGAGGCGCAGTAGGTTGAAAAGATTACGCTAATGAAGGCCGCCATTTTGGAAYTGGATTTTGGCGGGAAAAGACAYAAACCTTTGCTGAAATATAAACTAATAAAGCTAATAAGAAAATATATATGTACATAACTAGCGTGCAAATAACCCTATTGCGTGCAACAGCCGTTCTACGCGCACAAAACCAGATGGCTAAAGTTGAAGATTAGAAAAAAAAATCACTCAATTCATCCCAATTGCCGAATCTTATCTGAATTTTAGCATATTAAGTGCGCGCTCCAAAATAATTAAGTTGTTTGAAGTAAAAGCCTCCTATGAGGKTTCAGCTGAAATCACCCGATTGGTTGCTTGATATTCAAATTTTAACGACACGTATATTGTAAAACATTCGACATCAGTTTACAACTGATCAGTCGTTCTTCYACGTCAGAGAGAGAGGTTCTAACCTGTGTTATAGCGAGTAAGTATTCCTTTGAAACAAAATGTCTTCTAGAATTTTTAATGATCAAATGTTCTATCGAGTGGCTAATCTATTAYTTTAATACCTCCTAAGAGGCTTAATACTCATAGAGCTGTGTCACACTTAACGTTGAAGATTTGAAATGAAATAGACTATCCTTTCMCCATKGAAAATTGCACTTGGTTGCTTGTATGTGTCATTTGGTAATGAAATTAATACGCGAAGAATGGAAAATATTACTTAACTCAGGGCTCATTTCAGTGATTTAAGCATTTGCAGTGCCGGAACTCCCTAAATTAMTATCGATCAGTCAGTCAAAAATTCAATTGAAACTAAATCAAGAAARCTTATCTTCAAAATATTCAATAAATTGTAGATCAGAAGCGGATTGACTTTGCTGCCAAAAAGTCGTTAACTCTGCTGAAACCTGGCAATAAAAGGAATCAGCGAGCTGCAGCACACATTTTGTTTAAAATAATTAGAAGTTTTTGTTCAAAAACAAAACAGCGTCTATGTGATCCGGTTTTAACGAATTCAAGTCTGATTTCCTGAAACAGTCTGATAGCAAAGGAGTGCAAAGGAGGCTATATCCCAAAGACTCTGTTATATAAATTGCGGCAAAAAGCTTTCCTTTTTAAACAAATTTGTCCGCATTAAACCCCATCAGCATTTTACTGGTTTGCAGTCGATAGATAGGTCAAGAGCATGAGGTTACGCCCTCTGATCTTAACGTGATTTTGGAAATTGTATGTTCAACCCCTTACGCTTGCGCATTAGGATGGCAATTACATCCAGGCATGATTTAATCATGCAGGGGCTATTGTCTCATCAAAAAAGAAAAGAAATATATACACTGCATTGTGTTTGATTGTGTTTTGTTTACTGTCCCTTTTTGACAAGCTGAAAAAATTACATAAAAATAAGCCCTTTGTTTTGCAATRAAATAATTTCTGTTAGTTCCGCACTGAGTTGTCTGCAATTTAATGGCTGCATTGAAAATGAAATTGTGCTCATGTCACCACAAAATGACCAAAACGGAAGATAAGAAAGTTGTAATTTTAAMTGATACTAAATAAAAAAAGCCATTTMGCAAAGTAGTCACGAAATGTCTAGATGGTTTTATTCTGATTACTAAAATATCTCAAATATTTAAATCTTTTCTGGAAAAGGTGCCTAATAATTTTTCGACAAACATTTGTTAGCACTTATTACATCTAAATTGCACGGAACTTATGATACTTAGGTAAAAGAAGAAGTTCAATCGCGATGTCGTCCAAGATTTATACTGTATTGATAATAACTGCCATCGTTTCTGCCGAGATGATTGAAGCAAAGAAACACTTCAAAGACTGCGAATACTTAACACTGGCAAAATGCGACAAGAAGTTCATGGACACTTTTCAGCTATCAGTTGAGGAGGCGCCAGTAAACCTCAAGTTTGACGTGTATTGCAAAGCCTTTCAGGTTCGTAATGATGAACATTTTTTACTGCGGGAACTATCAAAGGATAAATTTTACTAATATTAAATTCGGCTACAAGAAAATGACAACGGCTAAATCCTTTGAAGTCCGAWTTATTTTTGGTTTCGATTTTGCCCTGAAGCCCTWAAGACTACYTCCTTTTTAAGGCCAGTAATTTAGAATACAGTCCCTATAAGCAATTATTTGTATGATATTTGCTTTTTCTATCAATGTAGACATACGTGGACTGCTTGACCTCAGCATCATGTCGAGGCGTGTTCATTGATCTCRATAGACTTATGATTCTTCAGCATACCCTGATGGATAAGAAACTGGGGATTTGCGTTGGGCACGAATTGGATAAATTGATGCGACTTGTTATGGGTAAATATGAACAACAACAGCAGCAGCAGCAACAGCAACAATAACAACATCAATAACAACAGCAACAACAACAACAACAACGTAAAGAGCAACAGCTGCAGCAGCAACAACAACAACAGAAAGATCAACAACAGTGACAATAGCAGTGACAATAGCAGCAGCAGCAGCAACAACAAACAAATTATTAACATCAGTAGACGACAACAACCTTAGCATGACCTTCACACTACCGTAGAACAGAAGAGATGAAAATCCTGCAAGCAAATTAACAACAGGATTCTAAAAGAAATAGTCATTGCAAAGCAAATCAAAAAAGTAGTAAGAGAGAAATTTAGGAAATTTAGGGGGAAAATAAGAAAAAAAAGAAGATAACAAAAATGGAAGAAATAAATGGATGARAAGAGAAAAAAAGGATGGAAGGATGGGAATGTGAAAACACCAATAAATTAAGACTAAAGAGGTTGCATCTAGAGAGATATAGCGATGAAATTGTTGTATGAAAATTGAACAAAGTTGAAAAGACGAGCCGAAAGAAAAGAAACAGTCGGGGAGTAAMATTGTCTAATAAAATATGTTCTYTTTGCTTCAGCTGACTTGAAAYTCGACTCAGTCCCTATCGGTAAGCATGCAGAAAGTACTCAAATACATGTCACATGTGGAATAATCAAATAGAATAATGAATTAAAAGACCGAATGACTCATGGATAAATATTCGATACATTAGTATTGATACACGTGCATTTTTTCATTTTATATGTATATCTTCAGCTGGAGACCAAATTTCTGGATGCGCTGAAAACATTCATAGAAAATGTGCAGGGAATATGGTTAAGGATTTCCAGACAGACAACCGAATGTGTTATGGAGTCAAAAACTTCATCAACTGCTACAAGAAATCTGGTTCTTCGTGCAGTGCAAAGATCTACACGGATTTCAACAATACTTTGCAAAGGCTTGCAAAACATCTGCTCGTCATGTTTAAAGAAGTCAAAGGAGTAATGCCTAACTGCTGATTTAAGAACCTATAACGTTGTAATCGGAATAATACTCGGTAGAATAAATAATGGAGCTTTTAATGGAGCTAATAATCGATATTTTGTTGAAAAGGTTGTGGGGGAGACTCGATATACTCAATCGAAGGCTATTGAGGGTTTGTAATACTTGATTATTTGGTAATATTCACTCATATCTGCTGCCTGAAAAACATGGGGGCAAAACCACGAAAAAACTATGATGGACACGATATGTTGACTGATATACACCCACACTAGTAAATGTCCTTTTTTGAACTCACTATGTAATCTACCTGCCTCAGAACAGCTGTTAAACGGCAAGTTTAAGATGATAAGCAATTWAAAGTYATTGCAATCACTTGTTAATGGAATGGAAAAACAAATAGTCTTTCAAAACCAATCATTCAAAAATAAACCGACRTATTTTGAGGGAGAGATTGATGTCTATACTCGAAACACGCGAACGTAATTAACTGAAATTGTTTTGTACAAATAATTTAGAATGGTAGAATTCCAATCATAATTCACTGAAAACTACTGGGCCTTCACAATGTTACATTTCTGAACTATTTGCGGTAAKTTTGTTGACGTGCAAGGCGTTGTTTTTCTGGTCCTTGATTTGTTGTACACGCCCAGTTCATTCTAAGTGCGGTCAGGATTTCAGGGATGTTTAGCCTAGGGTCTATTCATACAAGTGTAATCAGGTTACTAGATTGATAAAACTTTTGTATTGCCTCCCAGATATCACATCATTATTAATAATTAATGCTTAACAACGACTTTAAACGACTTATCTTCTTAGCCAATCACCAATCATCCCACCGTATCGCAACCTTGTGGTTAGACACAGGTAGCCCATACTAAGCAATATGGCGTCGATCTGCAAGAGAAAATCACGCGACTCAATGATATTCAAACTTTCTGACCTGGATTGTTCACATAGCAGTTTGTCCAAGGGGTTTTCAAGGGAAATAAAAACAAAAAAATGTTACCATACCACATTGTAGCACCCTTTTTACTTCATGTCAAAAATCCAAGAAAAAAGATTCTATTTTGTACTGACACGAACGTGTGTTCTTGATGTCGAGATATTTCTAACACATTGTAACAATATTATAAGCACAGTCGTGCGCTGTTTCCTAAAATGGCATCATTACCGTACTAATACCGATCGTTTTATCAATGATCTTGAAAGCAAGAAATTTTAATGAACCTTTGCGAATCTCATCTCTCATCGTCCCTTTGATTAGTTGACGCATTTACTTTAAATTGGCCTAAATTATTAAAGAACTTCAGACATGTATGCCTTGGGCTTGTTTTCTCYATATATTACTCAACCAGCTTAAATCTTTTGACCATGTCGTTACAGTTTATGTATTTCATATATTTAGTTTTATTGTAAGAGGTTGGTAGTTAACTCACATATGGTCATATCTACTATAGGACTGTACTGTAAGAATGAAGAGAAGAGAGCCGATGTGCATGAAGTACGAGTGATTCTGTTAAGTTTGTTGTTTGCCCTGGGCCGACTAATGAAGCTGGTTTGTAAGTGTGCAATACTATTGACCCACAATTGGACATATTATTGACTGCAGAAAAAACTGAGACATGAATTTATATCAAGAATACATAATAATGATCTTTWTAAAATTGCAAGTTTCATATGCTCTGGAAGAGGCGTATTCATCTACTTTTTTGAGAGATAACAATCGTACATTATTGATAAATTTGAGATGCATTCTAAACTATTGGGGACCTATAATATATTACTAGAGAAGTATTTTATTTTAGAAACATTGTTAGCAATGACTTTTCATTGCCAAATGAGCATATCTCCTGCGTACAAACCATGTTATCAATATGTGGCTTACTTCCCCGGGTCTTTGTTAAGGACCAGGTACAGGGTGTGTCCTTCATATTGGGTCAACAACCTCTCTTCAAGGCTGAACCAGGTCTTACCAGATGTTCTATAAGCTCAGCTAAGTTTTTTGACCTGGCAAATTATCAGACTTAATCAGAAACTGATCCAAGATCCAAGATCATTTCTGATTGTATTCGAGATACATAGATGATGGCGACCATTTGTACACCGTATGTCTCTATTATTTGAATGTATTTTTCTAGGATATAGTGCTATTTTTGCATCATACTAGTGCTAGTTTTATTAAAGAGTTAATTTTGTCCAAATCATTACAACTTTTCAGTGAGCAAAACGACGCGAAGATTCGACTTGACTTCCACCGCGTGTTCCTTGCAGTCATTAAAACTATACGTGTTGAACGCTATCCTACTGGCGAGTCGGTTTATCAAAAAAGCTTGGACAATAACTATTAGTATTTCCACACCAATGGCAGTGGATGATTGTTTAGMACATTTCCACTTTTTTAACACGCGCTCTCCCAAAAAATCCCCCCGAAAAACTAGATGTTTTCTAAAGTCTAGACACAATTCGTCTCGATTAGGAATCCTTTCAGTTGTTTGCGTTACGCGTGTGTCCAAGTAAGAGTTGTCATTAGAACGTGTTCACTTGATTGTATTCCTATCGCGAATATTAGTATACTTTTTTGTGGTCTTTTGTTAATAATGTTTATTGTTATTATTGTTATTTTAGTAGCGTCCAAACAAAGAAACACAAGATAACGAGTAGACAAACATAATCTTTAGAATATAATAGTCAATTGAATAAAGAACTAAAAAAATTGTTTGACTCGAGATTACCCTGCGAGCAGAGTGTATTTCCTTATTGAGGTAAGGAAATACACTCTGCTCGCAGGGTAACTCGAGATCTGCATAGATCACAATTCACATACAGCCCCTGGAGTTTGGTTCAAATTACGTTTCACTAGCTATAAACGTTTCTGAATGACATACGTCTAGGCACATTGATAGCGATACCGCGAGTTTACTGATGTTTCTATTTAGTTCTATGTGCTTTCAGACAATTAATGAATAGTTCATGTGAATATCATGTACTGATGAATAATACCTATCATATGTTGAAAAGAATTATTTTTAAGTTTTGAGTTAGCATACTGGGCATAATACTAACTACGTCGAGCGCGCTTCGCGCCATGTTTGCACTGACTGGGAAATACAGCAGATGCCAGATCATGCAATATGAATTTTAWAAAAATATATACAATGGTAAATCCTTGACGGAATTACGTAAGAAGGTGAAGAAATTAAATGACAAGAAAAAAAATTTCTCTAAGAAAGTGAAAAAAGGGGTATGAAGAAGAATAAATAAGAATAACTGAGCATTGTAACATGTTCTCTAACATCAGTCCTGTTTCATTATAGGATTTTCTGCACGTACTACATTTTTCTGTATTTACAAACGATACCCGCCATAAAATCAAATCCAGATTTCACTGACATTGATATTACTTTCTTACAGTATGTCCATCCGCCATGCTATTTCGCGTACGGACAAAAATAGCTCAAGAGTCAAGTTTCTTAGTATCACTTACATGGTTAATTCATTGGCCAAGCCCAAACGCAAGGCCCTAAGAAGTCAAAGACTAAAAAATATCACAATAGACTATCAAAAATAGAACTTGTATCGTTATAAGGAAGAATATTTCTTGTTTATTCAAACTAAGGCTTCGCGACACACATTTCGCGTTCATTACTAGTTCTAAACCATACTTAAATCTGAATAGTTAGAGTGCTTTTAAAATACTCCAAAAATATCGTTTTTAGATGTGTGCGGTCATGTTAATTGATAAGGAGCCATTTTGTCCGCATAAACCGGACTTGTAAAGCGTTCAAATGACAGGAACGTCTACTACGCCACACATAGTCTGTGCCTGGTGACGATGGGCTGTACGGGATTAGAGTTCTACTATGATAGACATTACACAGCGATAAAACCAGCTTAAAATCCAAAGATGAAATCGCAGTAAGAAAGCAAGCTTTTAACATAAGATTATCTTCGTAATAAGAATTAAATCAGGAGGCACTTTGTGGACTAAGGCGACGAATGCTTAAAAAAATTCAAAAAATCATTGCTCAACAATGGCGTCATTGTAAGGTCGCAGCCTCTTTCATGAAATGTTAAAAAACTGCATCAAACTTGTGTCTTTCGCTGTCGAAAATATAAAATCACTTAAAAGTTGTTCRTTAGATGCTTGCTTCTTTCGTGACTCTGTGTTATTATAGAACGAACAAAATAAGACAAAATACTTGATCATTTCCTTTCAAACCGGAACGGTAATGACGAAAGACACGTCAAAACTTTTCCACGTAACATAGCGACATAACCGCGATTATCCGTCGCAAAGACACACAAACAACACACAACACAAGCAACTAATGAAAAGAAGGAAACGTTTAACTAGTGACAACCACAAATTCCGTCTCGCTAGTATATTGTTTATGAGTTATAAATCCCGGTAGTTTTCTAGAACGCTTTGCGTACTTTTCACTCGTGAAGAGTTGACTCCTCCGTGMTTGTTACATTSGTTGTTTGTCTTTTTTCTTATCTTAATCCAATAAACTTTAATCGACTCAAAATAACACTTAGGCACGATCTTGACACATTTTACACACATTTAGCGTAGTAAGTCACAGCAATGTTTAGAGACRCCTAAGGTGCGAAATTACTTATACAAAACGAACAATAAGTTTAGGACAAAAAGTATCAGTGTATCGTCACAATAGATGTTGCTGTTTGGCCATGTTATAGATTGTATATAAAAAACATTGRGTATTGTCGTCTAGGCGGGTATTGTCTGTTTAGGTAATGGACACTTGTTATCGCTAAATGAATCAAATAATGACAATTCTATCTGKACMATCTCAGTGATTACTTAACTTAGTCCATCGAAAACGATAATACAATCCAGAGCTTAAAAAAAAMACCCAGACAAGATCGTTAAAATCATTGGAATACTCGCTGATCGTACTGATAATAAGTCAGCGACTGTTGATCAAYGAGTGYATCAATGATCTGGAAATGATTTGGAAGCTCTTTTCCAGGTTTTAAAAAGTCCTAAAAAGCATAGGAAGAAAGTAGAATGGACATGAAAAGATCCTGATTTTGTATAGACCACACATCGGAGGAAAGTTGCTAATCATTTCTAATTGAAATTTGTAAACGACTTGACACCAATTAGACAGGACAGTCAGCGTTGTGATTTGATTGGTTGKCTGACGAGAAACCCCCTGTGAGCTGTGAAAAGGCAATTTCCTGATCCCTATGAAATAAGAGACGACACGAGGCGGTGTAGTCTACTACGCCTAGCGAACCGTGAGTGGAATGTGTCCAAAGGTTATCAACCAAAAGGATATAAATGAATAGGTAATTATCCCAAAGTCAGATCAAGAGCTACTTTTGGTGCACTGTCATATCGCTATCCATCTGATCATAAAGCAGATAAACTCACTACACTGCACTGTCTTGCTGCCCACGAGGACTAMATTCGCTAGCCAAGATAACATCACGATGCGAGACTTTGAGGCAACAAGCTGCGATCACTTGTTACTTTCGCCRAGRAGCACAGGTAGTAGCTCTAGTGGTTCAGAGACGAGCTTGAGTCCCGGCACCTCGGCGCCCAGGAACACAAGGTACTATGTTAACAGGAAAGTGATCACATTGCCGTTAGACGATAGAAGGCATGCATATATGAAGAGATTGTATACAAACAGCCGCGAACGATGGAGACAACAACATGTTAATCTTGCTTTTGCTGAGCTTAGGAAACTGATTCCTACTTATCCACCAGAGAGAAAACTCTCGAAAAATGAGATTCTAAGACTGTCAATGAAGTACATTAAATTCTTGGAGAAAGTTTTGAARGACATGGAAGTGCGCGGATCGTCGAGTGACCCAGTAGACCTTAGTAACGATAGCTATCAAGATAGCGAAATGAAAACTTCACCGACAGAATCGTCGCCGAAGAATTGCTCAATTGAAGARAGTATGTTCAAACTTGACGACACAAACTCACAAWCTTCMCAAGACGAAATATCAGCATTAATWTTCGGACATTCATGAATGAGAAATGGATTATTAACTGAACAATTTGTTACGCAAGGGTCGAGCTTGTTGAGATTATCACCGTGAACTTAAGATAACTGTTATTCAAGTTTGTACATAAGAGACTATCCAAAACTCGATTACCCCAATCATCTTAACAACCCTAAAACACTACAATATTTTTGGAATGTTTGTTTACTATGTTTACTCTAATGTATATAAGATTGACTATCCAATACCGTTTAGTTTATGGATGATAAGAATAAGCAAACTCGGTCAAACTTTATACAAGAGTGTCCCTATATCAATATAATGTTTTTCAAATTGTCGATACGGACGACAGATTACCGTGTCTTAGTTGATTTTAAGAATGTTTCTCTAGAAAGTTTGTTATTGTAAATTTATACTGTAAATACTTCAAGAACGAAGCGTGCCCGATTAAACAAAACGTGTGCCTTAAGTCCATTAAGGAAAAGCGACAATAAACTAGAATGAAAATGAAGCGCTCTTGAATTCCATTCTCTTGACAATTCGCCTAATGAGATACACTCTCTCAAGGGCGATCGACTGTATTCCGTGCAGGAATCGTCTACGAAACGCGAGAAGATAAAATCTACAGCACTAGGAAGGATACCCCAGGATAGAATATCCTGTCAAATCGGTAGATCACTGCCCTGATAACATTGAGATCGTATATTCTAAAAGGGTAATAAAGAGGTATTCGAGAAYACACTAAACTAGTATAATTGTTTTGCCATCGGGGTCAATCCCATTGAGGAGGCGCCTGATAGATGATCAAAAGTATAAACCATCCCTAAAAAAAGCCACGACTCTTGACATCGTACTTTCCTCTATTCTTAYAGATGACCCAAATGTATTTTCACACAAGTCTAACGAGTAAATCGTTGGAGGTTTGCCCTCATTTCCCACGACTATCTTCTCAGAGTTTGGCCTTGAGGCAAACGCGCATTTTTTCTYGAGTCCCGCTTCGTGACTAAATGGTGCGCAGAAAAAAATTCACCCCCTAGAGAGGGAATTTGAAGAAATTAGTCTGCAAATCATACGCTCGTACAGTCAACTGTTTCACAGATTTTGGTGCAAACATTAAAGCACTGATAGGAATTGGAGCGGCGTTAACGCTTTGYGAATGTATGCTTGCAAGCTGTTAAGTTTTTTTGGACGTCATCCAATGTTGCAGAGTTTAACTACTGCAGCCGACCCGTTTTTCAAAATACCTTTATATGCTGAAATAGAGCGCGAACGCAATTATTAATCTCTTTGACTCCAAATTTCTACTCATTAGAAATAGTCACTACCGGYGTACTGCGTGCTTTGAGAAGCTGCTGAAATTTGTATAAAGTTAAGGTTGTATAATAGCTGATATTTTCCAATAGCTTCTCATATTAATTACTTGATCAATGACTAACAATCTATTACGTATACAACCAATCTACACAAAACTGTGACAATTCGTAAASTTTTTCAGTCGTAAAAGAAAAGTCATACTGTATGACAACTGTTTGACAAATAATATAGCTAACCCGTTAGCTATAGCCCTTTTGACGCCCGACCAATATAGATTCTAGCGTTAAATGACGAACATTAAGAGAATAGGCCGATATGTTAAAAAACAACAAATATATTCCTGAAAAAGGTCTATTCAAGCCTTTGTTTTTGTGGCTTAACTTCGACTTTTTGTCTAGTTTTCGCTTTGCTTCAAGAAACTTTGACAAGAGATCGGGAGTCTTGGGAAATCGTAGACAAACAAATAAAAACCTTTTACGTCATCGATAAAACTTTAACATTAACTTCAGAACTAGTATTTATTTTATTCATTTAAAAAATCCTACGTCATATCTTCAAATAAAATCAAAGATGGCGTCCGTTTTGAAAAACATATTTTAATCCAAAAAATGTTTTTATATACCTATGGCGACGACATTAAACTGTTTATAACGCTCATAACATGTCATAAACACAAAATAATTGTCCGTTAGACGTTGAAAATAATTGCCTCTGACTTGATTCATTTAGGATTTGAGTCAGTAATAGAGTTTGTCCATCATGCATGATCCCAGCTCATTCCAAGACATATCTATTTCAGTTATATTAATCGTTCCCATGGTCATAAACCATCTCGACACCAATGATCCTCAAAGATAAATCTGTATCCTATAAAGATGAACCAGATATTGAAATGATACCAAGTGCTTTAATTAAGAGCCTGGTTTTAATATCAACTGAGAATGATGTCGGGTTAGAGGCCATGCAGATAACACACTAGAAAAATGCATATTGTTTTATAGCGATGGCGGAATTCCTATGGGCCGTGTACTACTGACCTCTTATCAATCCATTTTAAAAACTACTAATATTTATACCCGATAAGTATTCATGCCGATGAAGTGAGGGCCTCACCGATTGTAGTTTCTACGGAAGAACCAAGTCGAAATTATCACAAAACTAAAAAAAAAGAACTGGAAAAAACTCAAAAATAAAAAGACTCGGGAAAAAATTTGATTTAGAGAGAACCATAAATGTCGTGACAAAAGACAAATTTGTGATTGATTTAATTTCTTTTGTAATTTAAAGAGCTCATTTTCCTTTTAATTGATTAGAAACGTTTCCATTAGAAAATGTTTTTGCAAGTAACTGAACTTGACCGATTCGATATCTCGCAACTATCATTAGTCAAATTGTTTTGAGATKTCCATGAATMTCGATCTTTCCAATAAACTGGCTTMATAAYATCGTTACMTTTCACTCCGATCAAGTAGTTGGGACTCTTTTAAAAGTTGAAAAACAACGTCATGTAGAGAGATAATGGACGGTAATGAGTGTATTCAAACGRTTATTTATTATTGATAATACTCACTACGTTCAGTATTTATTGTGAAATTGGTGCCGAGAGGATCAACATCATAAGTTAGGAGCTGTAGCCATTGAAATCTAGTGATCATGAAGGATCATTCTGTACTGATCTGACGTCTCAAGGTAAGACTGATCCCATTATAATTAACTATTTGCCTTTTGAAACGTTTTAAAACAACGTAAAACTGACATGTACTGAATCAGTAGGGAAGAATCTCAATACAAAAAGACTTTAAAAAGACTTTCAATCTTTTGAATGTACAGCTGACTCTCTTTGAATGACCACTCTCGTAAGCGACCATATCCCGTAAGCGACCACCTTTTATAATTGTTTCCCATATAAACTCTGTAAAGAAAACTCTCTCGTAAGCGACCATCTCTCGTAAGCGACCACTTTTTTCTTGATCCCGAGGTGGTCGCTTACGAGAGAGTTGACTGTATTTTAGATCTTCAGGGGATTTTTTAATTTCTTGAAATAATAGTGTTAATAAAACTAAAATAATAAAACTTATTTAAAAAGAGTTTTCTCATGCATGATGTGACATTAAGCATTCCCACATTGGAAAATAAATTATGCAAACTCAATTTGCATTGTTAATTTGATTCCCTGGGTGATTTTGCAAATGAGATAATAAAAGGTGTTCCAAAGTCTCCTTTGTGTCACTATACTTGAGGCAGCTGTGAAAGAACACCGTCTTCATCCCACCCGCCCACCCAAGAAAGCCAGGTTTGAATTGCCTTACTTCAACTTTTTACTTCTTGCTTTGGCATAGGCGTGTCCCAGGCCATCACTATCCCCATTACTTATCTCTTTCTCATGATTAACAATTATACCTGGGGAAGAATATTACACTGTTACCATRATATTTAAAAACTTGTAGAGATTAGAAACAAACCAAAATTTTTAAGTTCTTTCCTGACTACRTCTTTTTTCTAATAACATTTTGACTAAAAATGTATGTACTTTTCATATTAAAACCTATAATTAAACCTATACTATTCACACAGTAAAAAGTTTTGTTAGTGTTAAGGTATTATCCAGTTAATAT